TTCCAGTGCTTTGCTTCTCAACAGCAAAACATATTTTTCTATATCTTTTTTTCTATCTCAGAAAACAATAACACAATCAGTAAATATGACATACAAAATTGCAGTATGAAAACATTTTTATTTCAGCGACTACTTTGAAACTTCTTACTAGAGAGGATCTTTATTCACACCCATGGTATTGCAGCTGAAACTGCCAGCATCTATTCTTTGAATATGCCTCAGACTTTAAAATTATCTTCTTGGAACAAAAAAATCTGTAATTGAAATTTCCTTTTTTGCCATAAGAAATGTCACCAATTCTGATTTCTGTCAGTGAGCCACCTCTATGTAACACTGTTTGGAGTACTGAAGACAGTAAACTTTCCAGTAAGTGAGGTTAGGTGAGGCTGAGCTTTTGGAAGATGTGGAAAGTTTGGCACATTTTTATATTAAAATTAAACAGGATGATACTCATGATCTATATCCTTCTGAACTTTGGCAAGGAGAGGATATGTTGAAATATTAAATCAATTTTTATTATATTTGGCTCTTCTATAGCAGACCAAAAGACAACCTGGGTACCAAGACCCTCTATTTATTCCTCTGAAGATAGAATTCGAATTCTCAAGTTATTTGCCACTCTATCTTATGACATCTTGTTTCATATAAATAAAGCAGTTTCTTCTCTCTTTTATCAGAGCAGTTTTTCTCGGTCTTGAATTATAACAATGCTTACTACAGTTTTTTTCCATAGGCCTTCACTAGCAAAAGGAAATCAGTTCCAAAAAGTTGTCTTTCTGCAGTTGTGTTTTGAATGTGCAGATAGTATGCATAAACCTTGCAAACAAAATTATTAAAACAAGTATTCACATTCAAATTTTAACACAGGACAATATATGCCTTTATCCCACTTTTCCAATAAAATATTATTTTAAGTAAAATAAGCACTTTTTTAATACCAAAGCATGTATTTATTCTAACTTGAAATACTTTTGCAGCAGAGTCTTAATTTCTACTCTTTATTGGCAGAGCTCCCCCTGCTGATTCATAACAATTGCAAATATTAACTGCTCTGTCAGAAAAACACAGTGTTCAACCTGATTTATTTCTTTCTATGAAAAGAAATATTTGAAATATTTGAATCCCAGTTTACCCTACCAAATTTGGAGCAAATTGTTAAAAAAATATTTTGTAACAATCAGAACAGAAAGTAGGATTCCTGCAACTATTTGAGCAACTGAAATATTTATACTTACATTCAGTTTTGGTACAGTTACAGTTAGCGCCTTTGGGTTAATGTCAAAATCTGTTATTACTGTGTAATTCTGGTTGTCTAAATCAGGCTTTTTAAGATTTATTGAAGGCTGAAGGATAAGCTTGTGTCTTTTACAGATTCAAAATAAGAAACAAAAGACATACTTATGCACAATTCTGAAATAAATTTTACATGGGAGTCAGTATTAGCAAGAATTTAATATGAATTTCATCTGGTGAACATCACTAAATATCATGAGAAAAACAGTTAAAACAGAAGCAGAAAAGAATTATTCACCAATTGAAAAAACCAGGCAGTTTCTTTTTCCCTGAAAATGGTCGTAATTGTGAGCTATGTTTGGGCCAGTTAGGACCAGCCTACTCTTAAGCAAACTTTGTTCATTCTTCACATGTACTTGTCATGGGATAATCGTTGCTCCATCATTTTCAGTTTTTCATAGCTGGAATTTATAGCTAGAATCTCCCTAACACACACTGAACAGTACAGGCAAGCTTTCAGAAAGCAAAACTTGGTAGAGCCCATCAATACACTAAAATTGGTATCTATGAGCTACATGAATTAGGAATAATTACAAAATAATGCTACATATTTCCAGCTCTCAGATGATGGACTGTATCCATGCTTTTGTCATCTCTAAAGCAACCTAAGAAGGCAAAGCAATAAGAATGTATCACAATCAGCATTTTTTGATTTATGAAGCTGTGGCTTCATGAAAAGATGGGCTTTTAGTTCATAGATAAATTATTAAAGCAGAAAAAAATCACCATAAAAGATCTCACCCTTTGTAAGTTCCACTCTGATTGCTCATTCAGTAATTCATCGAGTTCAATTCTTATTTTGTAGATATTCCCAATGTTTTTTATTTTAACCTGAATAAAGCCAGAACAATACAGCATATAACTACAGACAAAAATATATATAATTTACACTTTAAACTTGTGTGGTAGAGGCTGCATGCTGATTAAGTAAGGCCATGTCTTGCAAACTAAGACTGTATCCAATTCATGATTAAAAGACATTTCAGTCTCAGTCTCCCGCACATACAGAAGAAGGAGCACCCTAATGGCAAGCACAGGTCTATGAATTCTATGCTTAAAACTGTTACAGCCTTCAGGAAGTCTTGCAAAAAAATAACCCTAAACATTTCCCCTCCTGTACTTTCAATCATCACATGTGAAATAACTCAACAATCCAGTTCTCATTTATGCACAACCCCCTTTTGCCCTGTATTTCTACATTTTGCCGTTCATTCAGTTTGGACTATATTTCTAGAAACAATATAGCTACATCACATGTGGAAAAAAAATACATAAAACTACATCTTTATCTTTGCAATTGGTTCCAGATTTCTCTGAACCACTGCAGTATCTGAGTATACAGGAACAGCACACAACATTTGATTGGCAGATTTTGGATTATAGCATCCAGAAAGAGACTGCTTCTGTTTTGTCTAAACAGATTTCTGTCTGAGCCTTAGTTTGACCAAATTATAGCCTAGTAAAATTACAATGCTTGCCAGGGAAATGATTTGGCAGATATTTGAACTCTTCAAAGTTTAAAAAGTAAAAAAAAGTTGGTGAGGGCCATTCATGAGAGAAATGTGGAATACAAAATTAAATCCACTAAACCACAGGTCACGAATCTTTCATAATGCAGCACAGCAACATGACCATAAACCCCAGTATGTCAAAGTGAAGGATATAAAACTTTTGGAGACCTTAAAAAATAAGCTCTCAAAAGCTGGCAGAACACCTGCAAAACTTTGAAAATCACTGATACTATCTTCACTTTCTGACTATGATTTTCATTTATTTGCACTTTCTTGGCACTTTCAAGCATTATACATTGCATTTCAAGCTCTTAATTATGAAATCTACTCTATGCAATGCTATCTTATCCCATTTATCTGGGGTTTATTTGAAGTTTAACCATTATTTAAAGCAAGCATAAATCATTTTAGATCATTTGTAATGTACTGCTAGGAAAGGAAAAGTAAGTGCCTTATCATATTATTTCTCAAATAATACTTCTATTAATAAAAGGTTGGGTACAGCCTAATCCACTCCATCATTTACATCCAAAAAAGCTATTTACACTGTATAAAAATTATTTTCTTTTCATTCTCTTAGAAACACCTACTATTATCCACCCATTCTTTACCTTCATTAATAAAAAGCCCTCTTCTCTTTTCAGAGGTCAGAATTACCTCAGTTCCTATATCAGCTTTTAGCTGTCTCTTTGTGCTTTTGTATAACAAACTTTCATGGTATAGTCACAGTGTTACCATGCTTTAGTCAAAGATTTCTAGAAGCAAACAACTTTTACCCTTGATTTCCCTAATATTGAAAGGCACTTGGTAAATCACAATGGTTGTTTGAGAAAGAATCTGAGGAATTCACACCTGTATTTATACTGGTATAGTTGCTACATCAACCTGAATTTCATTAACAAAATAAATGCTAACTCCAGGCTTGCAACACTGATGTGACAATATGGTTCCTGTCTTTTCCATCGGCTTAAGAAAATTGCTTTGTTTTGTGGAGTCAGATTCCGATATCCTTGCTTTGCTGTATAATATTTCTCTCTATAAGTAGTCTTGTTAGAGGTAACCTGGAGACTTTGGGATTAAAGCAGTAGTAAAGTAAGGGTATGTATACAGTTTGACTGAAAAAACAACTATTGTCATTTCTCACATTTCACTCACAAACAAACCAACGAACCCACTTCTCAAGTAATGTGAGACACTGTCTTCTCATTCACAGAGCTGGTGTTCAGTGAACATAACAGCGCTGTCATGTTATCTGTTTATTCTAATAAATCCCTCTTTAGGCTTTTGGTTAAAAAAAAGTTACATTATCATTTCATGTATCAATACAAAACATAAATGTACCGAACTTTGTCAGAATGCAAAGAGTGACTTCTGCCTCAAAAAGCAGAGGTCTCCTAGAAGAAGCCCTCTGGTACCCTTGATTTTTCTCCTGCACAGTCTTAGAAAAGATTAAACAGACAATGACTACTCACATAGGTAAGGTAAGAGAGGGAAGGCCACATATGAATTGTTTTCATTTCTCAAGATAGTTCTACTTGAATTTTTCATAGTTGTGCATACTGCTGGTAAAGTGAAAGGTTAAAGAAAACTGACTCCAAATTGCCTGATTATTACAGGCTTTGGGAAGCTGTTTTCTTCCTAGAACTCCTGGCCAGAGCTATGATTAAGTGGACTACTTAAAAAAAAAAAAAAAAAAAATTGTTATCTTCTGCTCTAGAAAATATCAGTGAAACCATATCAAGCTCAAAGATGTAAATGCTAAAAAGAAGATGTAATTTTTCTTAAGTCTTGCATTCCTATCCTCATTTCAAGACTTATCCTGCTAAACAGGTACAGGATAAAGTTTAAAGGGAAAAAAAGGAAGAAAGAGCTCTTACTCATAGGCCTTTTCTTTGTGGATTTATCTACTGCAGACTAAAGAGTGAAAAGCACTTTGGTGACATTTGCTGTTTCCTGCCTGAAAGCAATAGTGTCAGCGTGATGTAAAGAATCATAGCAGTAGCCCCAGGTGCTGAAAGATTCTGCTCTCTCACAGGATCAATATCCACAACACACAGCCATAATGGGCAATATCTATTTTACAGAAGAAAAATTGGTCCATCTCTTAAGAGTGTATGGATTAACATTGCAAACATGCTATTACCCGATGTTGCTTATAAATTATTCACTAATTAGGAGAACAGGATTCCCCGTGGATCAAAATATATAGCCTACACACTTAGAAAAGGAGCATTACAGTTGGTTATCTTCCTGACTATGCCCTATTCATAGAGAGTATTACTATTAATGTTATAGGCAGTAACAATCTTGGTTTGTACCGAGATTGTATTAGAAGAGTTGATAAGTGCAGAAAAAAAAAAAAAAAAATTGCACAAAATGTGAAATACATAACTTCTTCTTCAGTTAGCTGAAGACAGCAATATGCTACATGCATCTCAGACAGAAAGGTTTAAGCAAAACAGAAGTTTTAGCCACTTTGGTAGTTTCCTCTCAGCCTACCTAGACATAATTTCCTTATTATAATAGAAGTGGGTTTATTCTTAAATAATAGCAGAACCCTTTGTGTTTTCATGACATGATAACATGTAGGTTTTATTGGGCTTTTAGCAATTCCATAGGTAAAGCTTCTGGCATTTCAGCTATTAATAATATGGTAACAGAAAACAGAGTTTTCTTCCTTAACTGAAGCAATTCCAGAATATATATTTTATAGTATGCTTTGAAAACAGTATGCATGAAGATTTTGTTACTAAAGATCCCTAAATGATACACAAGTCTTATATCAGACATAGTGTGTTTAGGAGTGGATAGTTTCTAAAGCTAGTTTCAAATCAGTTACCTTAAAGAAATCAATCTACTCCTGCAGTTGTCCCATTTGGGCTACTATATGAGGGAGAGGGTGTTAAAAGAAAGAGCATTTCCTCTTTTGCTAACTATATGCACCAAGCTGATTTAATGCAGAATTCACAGAAATTAGACAGAGATTTATGGTGTGCAGTAAACATAGGAGAAAACCATTTTTTCTTTTCACATGACAGAATAATCTTTGGAAAGGTACACATTAAAATAATGTTCTTAGCCTTCATTAGCTACCTGAAACTCATCCTCCTGCCTGGGAAGAAACAGCTGCTTTCTGTTGTCCTTGCCAAGAGTTATTGGTCCAGCTGCTCCTCTGTCTCCATATATCCAGAGAATGACATTTGCTTCAGTTCCTGCATTTCCTGTCAGCATTGACACTTTCCATTCATCATCTGAAGGAAGGGGACACTCACCACCTTGGGGATTTCTCATTTCCTCTGTGAAGTACAGAACATTAGTGGGAGATGAAAATCAACATGAAACTGCCAGTCACTGTTGTAACTTTAGCACATAAGGAGACCATAACAGAGAGGGGATTGTATTTTTTCATGGCAAGTGAGATAGTCTGAAAAGATTGATTTATGTTTCTTGTCTAGACAAAAATGTACTGATTAGTTGAGCTACAAGAATCAACTGGAAAAGAACAAGTCTCTCTCACATGCTCTATCATCGTATTGTTCTTTATACATATTCTGGTGTAGCGTAAGGATGCTATGATGCAGAACTATGGCCATTAAATCAATATTTCTGGTTCCTTAGCCCGACATTAAGAAATGAGTGGAATTACTTGTAAATACTCCTCTAATGCCTTGTTGGGACATTATTAGCAGAATCACATGTCTGAGAATAGAGACAATTTTCATTTCAAATGAAAAAAAAATCATTCAGGAAATTAACTTTCTTCAAGTTAAATATTAATTAAATACTATAAAATACTCAAAAAAGAGCACAACATACCCTTGCCCAACCATACTTATGCATACAGTGCCAGCATTTGGGCTAAACAGGTTCTGCATGAATGAGACAATAGCAGCACAGTACCACTTTATGGATAAATTTCACAGCTTTAATGGCTGAGCAAATATAATTTTGGAAAACTTATATTTCACTTTAGAATGGCACCTACTGATCTTTCATCTACCCTTAAGAGAAAAAAATAGATGTCAAATGGCACCTCTGCACATGTGATATGAAAAAATAGACTCTCTTGGGATGAAGGAATTTAGTTTTCAGTATTCTAATCAAGTGGAGTTTACAAACATCAGATGTCTGGAACACTACTTTTCAATAATGGGACAACTGACCATGAAGTCCTCTCCAAAAAAGGGAGTCCTTGCCCCCAAGAATTTATAATCTGTTCTGACACAAGAGGCAGGTATAAACCCTAAATTTGAAAAGATGAACCAACACATTGTCTATATACTGTGTCCTGCAGGGGTTCCCAAACTGCTCTTCATGAGGCCTTTTCATGCTACTACCAGGAGACTTAATATGCTAACCATAATGAATACAATCTGTGCTAGATTAATTTTCTTTTGTATCCCTCAGCTCATTCTTCATCCATTACATAGCTTTCTATGAACCAAGCTTTTGGAGGCCAGAGGCTCCAAACACGTAATGGAACTCACTTATAATTCTGCAGAATTCATAAATAGCCACTGATATGGGTTTGTTGAAGAATTCCCAATGCATCACTACGTGCGTTACTGCTGCACTACATACCTTGCTATGAGCACGCTTTGCCTTTTTATTTGCTTGATTAAAATATTGTGCTGGGTTTCTCTGGGATACAGTTTTTCCCTTCACTTATTAAACTGTTTTTACCTCAAAGGCGGGGAAAAAAACCCCCCACAACCTAAAAAAAACACCCCAAACCAACCAGAAAAACAAGTGATGCAAAAGCAGTCACTTATCACCAGAAGAATGATGCCCAGCTAGTCCCTGAGGAACAACTACTTTGGAAAAACTCCTCTCCAGTTTTATTGCTGAGGATGACAATATACAATATGGAGTATCCTTCTGGTCAGTTGGGGTCAGCCGTCCCAGCTGTGTCCCCTCCCAACCTCTTGCCATCATCCCCCCCACCTACTCGCTGGGAGCGCGGAGTGAGAAACAGGGGTGGACTCAGTGCTGTGCAAGCACTGCTCAGCAACAGCTAAAATATTGGTGTGTTACCAACACTGCTTTGGTCACCAGGCTAAAACACAGCACCAGACAGACTGCTATGAAGAAAATGAAGTCCATCCCAGTCAAGCCCAGTACACATACTAAACAAAATAAAGCAATTATCTATGACAGAAATTTGCAAAATTTATCTGACTTTGCTTTGTTGCTAGCATTAAAATATAAGTTTGAAGGCAAATGAAAAACACTTTTGGTCCTTGAGACTTGCTTCTTAATAAACTTTTATGAGCCACAAATTCC